TCTGATTCATTCTATTAGAATTTTTCCATCTGTTTTTTTATATTCGTAACCCATTATCGAAATCAACAATCTTTTACATGTGTGATACAAATAATTTCCTAAAAATTGTTAGTTCAGATATTCGCTCATTTTTTAGTTTTTTCTCTAATTTGTTCGTTTACAGCATTCCCTGTCCCTAATATCAATTTATCCAGCTTCGCAAGTCCGGTCTTGTCTTTCCATTTTATCCTTTTGCTTTTTCCCTCCTACATTTTTATCTCATTAGAACTGACCATTCATACTAATAAATACCAGCATTTAGCCATTTTTAACACTTATTTTATATATCATTACTCCCGCTAACTCGTTTACTTGCGCAATAGTATCTTTTTTTCGTTGTAAGCTATATTGAATTGTAAATATGAAGACCAAGATGGCGTGGAATTCTGTTTGGTCGAAGTCTTCTTTAGCTTTATTGTGTTTGTTCGATCTAGTTTTACCAACTTGATGGGAGCGTCAGGGAGACCTTGTGGAACGTATCTAGTCGTATGTCCTCTGCCATAGTGTCACGAATACTATGGCAAAGGACATGCGACTAGGTGCATTCCATAAGGTCCTCATCAAGTTGCAAAAACAATGTAGAACCAACACTATTGAATTGATTTGTTTTCCGTTAATCAAATATTCTAGATTGCTTTACTATTAGCCACGTATTTGTCTCATATTTATGGTATGAAACTGGGTTTCGATGAATCTCAAGACTTTGTAGCCCAAATCAATCAATTTCTTAACTTCCTCTATCCTATACTTGTGAAAAGTATTTGTAAGGATGATTCCTGTTTTAAGCTTAGTTCATCGTACTATATGTCCACATTGCTTGGTTTTGACGGTAGATTCTTTAAAAAAATTATCTTGGAAAGCACCTAGTCCGGAGTTTATTGTATGCATCATCATTTCCAGAGTAGGACCATGGACGTGGTACATTCCCTGACGTTTCGACGGCATCGTCAGTGAGTTTCGCCATTCGTTGCACCATATTACCACTCGTCAAAGAGACAATTGAAGCCCATCATTTGACCAACTGTGTGCTAAACAGTTGTGGTATCTCCCTTTCTGCCCTGGGCTAGTCACATTTCCTATATCCTCCTATCAGGCCTTGCCTGTCACAATTTTTTACCGTCCTTATTTTTAATGTAGTGTGGTGTGCTTCTTCGGCGGTATTTATGAAACCCTTCAACACTCCACACTGTCGTTATCACCCTTTTCACCCTTGTGCTGGGAATGTTGATCAGAGTCTGTCATATTATTACGTAGTCCTTCCCTGGGTCTTATCAAAGTCTCCCTCTTGCCCCGTCGAATGCGTCTGCTATCTCCCTGGTACATGTATTTCACTCGACCCCTGCCCCCATCTGTGCTATTCAAGGCGTAATCTGTCCATCCCTTGCACCTAGGTGATTAAATAGAGGCTAAAGCCTCAGAGTAAGTCTCATGGTCATGCCTTTGCTACATGGACCACGTCTCTTACAAAACCTACTGTCAGCCAATTAGCTCTAACCCCCGCCTCATCTATCCTGTCTATATCCCTAATACCAAGTCTATGACTTGCCATTCCCTAGTTGCTTGTGTCCCAACCAACAAATGTTGTAGTACTGCTGGCTTTGATAAGGTTCAATGTTGAACCACAACGTTTGTGGGTTGGCACACAAGAGACTACGGCATATGAAGTCATAGACTTGGTATTATAGATAAAAAGAGGATAGAAACAGTGGAAGCTAGAGCTAGTTGGCTAAATATAATCGTGATCCAAGGATCATGCTTATTATGAAACACGTATATTGTTAGCCAAATAGCTTTATTCTTTTCTGTTTCTATCTGTAATACCATGTCCATCACTTCCTACGCCCTTGTCTCTTGTGTGTCAACCCACAAATGTT